TAAAACACTTGTACTCAAGCCAGCAGCATCAATGGAAACATGCTAGTCCTTTAGAATGCAAACTCTTTCACCATCACTATAAGTCAAGATTAAGGATGATTAAAGACATTGCTGTGGTAAGGCACATAATGGTGAGCATACTTAACTAACCTATCTCTGCTGCTCATTTGACAAAGTCTTTATACATAAAACTACAGACCAATTCCTATTAAGAAGCATATTTCTAACTTGCTGTGAAATGTCCACATTCTAGCTAGCTAGCTTTCTGCGAAAGAATTTTGTAAGCCTTATTATAAAGTCTCAAGGAATTACATATAAAAGTTTGCCAAAAAAAAAAGTCAGTTTAAGCAACTTCTGATTTTTTGCTATGGGTTTTTTTTTCCTCTTCTTCATTTAGCATGCCCTTTGCCTATCTATCTCCCTTCATTTCTTAATTCTAGCTAGCTTTTTTATTTCAAGAAAAGGCATGCTAAACCTACTCCCAATCCCAAAGAGTCGCATCAAATTCTGAACAAAATTTCGAATCCTAGCTATAAGGACATACATACTATAAATGGATTTTTCTTTGAGAAATTGAGGTAAACTCGACACATACATGGTTTTTTTTCAAAGAGGTGAAAAAAAGTTTTTTCCTTTTTTCAGCCCAAATATGCATTTTATCAACTTGCACCTATCCCTTCTCAATCACCACAACCTTCCCGATGCACCACCTTAATCTCCATGAAACATAACATATTCTGTCACACATCAAAACTACAAGTCACTATCATAATTAAACCCTTTACCCAACTAATCATTCATTTTCCACCTATAAAAACTTTCTCTTCCAACACCTCCTCACCCATCAAACAAACATTCATTCTAAAATTAACAACAGTTCTCTCGAGCCTTCTATACTGTAATCAACAAGATGAAGCAAATCCATTTCTTCCTTTTCCTCTTGCTTTCCTCCTCCTTCTCTTCTTTCACTTTAGCTCAGTTAACACCAGCCTCAGCCCCAAACCAGCTCCTAAACCCCCGGCCAAACCTGCACCAGCTGTTCCGGCGCCGGCTCCGGCGAAGCCGTTAGTGCCCAGTGGACCCCAGTCGGGGGATTCCTCGGACGCTTCCAACGACGACATCATTAAGATCCTCAGGAAGGCCAAAAACTTCAATTTCCTTATCCGTCTTCTGAAAACTACCCAGTTGATCAACCAAATCAATTCGCAGCTCATAGCCACAAGATCCGCCAGTGGCCTAACCATTCTGGCTCCCGATGACGATGCTTTCTCCGAACTCAAAGCCGGGTTCCTCAATTCTCTGGACGATAACCAGAAGATAGAACTAGTGCAGTTCCACGTTCTTCCCGTCTACGTTTCCAGCTCCAACTTCGACTCGCTGACCAACCCGGTCCGGACACTCGCCGGACTCAACCCGAGCAGGTTGCAGCTGAACGTGACGGCTTATGGGAGCATGGTGAATATTTCAACTGGGGTGGTCAATACCACAATTGCAGGCATTGTTTACACTGATAGGTCACTGGCCATATATCATCTGAACAAAGTGTTGCTTCCGCTGGATTTCTTCAAGCCAAAGGCTCTGGCTCCGGCGCCGTCGCTGGCACTGGCTAAAGCTCCAAAAGCTGATAAGGAGAATCCGTCCATGGATGGGGATGATGATCAGACCGAGTCAGCGAAGGAGAAGTCCGGGGCTGAGGGTCTGAATGGCGGTTTTCTAGGAACAACGTTGGCTTCAGTCGGAGTAGCTTTGGCGGCGGCTGCTCTAACGGCGTCGTATTGAAGAATTTAAGCTTCGTCATTTAATTTGCAAGCTGTTAATAGTTGTTTTCTTTTCTTTTCTTTTCTTTTCTTTTCTTTGCCCCACAATTTTTCTTATCTTTAATTTGATGTTTTGGTTTTGTGTGCGTGGCATGGGGAGAGATTATTGTATGTGAAGCCTTTGCGTTATATTCGTGCTTTTCAATGAGTAAGATGTGATTGCTTTGTGTAATTTCACTTGCTCTTTTTGTGTTTTCGGCCGACATCAATCTTTATATGTTCTATATACATCTCATCTAAGACGTAAAATCTATGTCCTCTATATAATTATTACTACTAATCTTATTAATATAAGAGCTAATTTATTTTTAATTTAATTTTAAATATAAGAATTTAATTCATTTTATCTCTGATATTTAGTTATTTTTATCAAAGTAATCCCTATAATAATTGCACATATTAAAAGTTTTATCAAATGATAGTTCTAGTTAATACACATGATTAACAGGGGTATTTTAGATAAGACAACAATTATTTATTACTAATAACTAAATTAATTTTCTTAATATCCCCAAATTAGGTATTTAGTTCTTATATTAAGAACATAAGTTAATATTTATTAACTAAGCTCGTTCATTTGCTTGAATGAATTTGGAACAAGGGCATGCATCCTCATATTTGATTGGACAAACGTAATTTTATACTTACATTCTACGTATTTAAAATTAAGTAATTATTTGAGCCTGCAAAATTATTATTGGAAGAGTTTGATAGAGAAAGAAGAAAGGATAAAAAAGGAAACACGTTTTAGAGGTAGCTTTGCTATAATCCATCATAAAGTAAAAAATTGATCTATTTTAATACTCTTCCGGTACTAAATATAGGATCTTTATATACACTATATAAGAATCCTATATTTAGGACCGGAGAAGTATCTCTGAGACCATTTATAACACTGCTTTAATATTGTGATTTTTTTTTAAGAAAAATCCTCTAATTGTATATGTACGTGCGAATTTGCACAACATTGTGAGAATTTTGATGCCAAAAAAAAGAAAGAAGCATACTTAGCATAGTGAGAATTTTATTTCATCACCAATGGGGGATGGGTTGGATATTTCTAAACCCGTCCAAAATTCCATTTCATGGGCGTCTCTTTTTGGGCCTATAATGGAGATTCCTCTTTCATGTCAATTATGTGATTAAAAAAATAAATGGAACTCGCTCTATCAGTTGCAGTTAATTTATAACACAAATATTTCGGCCAAAAAATTATAACTACAATAAAATCTACCAATTAAATTTAAAAAAATTAAGGGGAACCGTTGAACTGGTAAAATACAATTTTTAAAGAGAAAATAATTTTTAAAAAAAGAAAATTATAAAATCCTAAATCAGGTATTTTCATAAAAATATATTGTTATATACTAGCTTCGGTCCTAATTATAAGAGCTAGTTGACTAATTTGAGGAGATTAAGGACGTAAGTTAAATTAGTTATTTGTAATAAATAGATATTGTTTTTTCTAAAATATTCTTGCTAATTGAATGTATCGGCTAGAACTATAATTATTAGAAAGACTATCTTGAAAAAAATGTATAAATATTAGAGACAAAGTGGATTAGAGTTTTATATTTATGACCAAAATAAAAGTCAAACAAGATCTTATAATAAGGACTGGAGGTAGTATAAGTCAATCGTTATAAAAAAAACCTGTTAAAGTGTTGTGAACAATGTTGATTTAGGATTTTGCACATTATCCCATTTTTAAGACTCGAAATGGATAACGTGAATGTAGCATACGTCGAATGATGGAAAGTAGGCATAGCAACTAAGCTACCTTTTATTTTTGGCCAGAGCGGTTAAATTACTCGAAACTAATTCAGTTAGTTTTATTTAGAAAATTAAATTACATTTTCGCATAGATTATCTAATTTAAGAGTAAAATTAATTTGGAAGATTATGAATAGGTTTTTTTTACCAGTGAACATTAATATAAAATATAATATATATCACAAGCTACCAAGTATATACAGTTCATAACACAAAATGCAACTTCAATTATGAGTAAATATTTAATTGAATGCTAGATCCGCTGTGATTTTTCTTTTTGTCAAAGAACCATTCCGAAATTTAAAATGTTCATAAAACTGTGAGCGTCCGCATTCAGTGCTCATCAGTGATGCGGGTGCTCATCACCTGATGATGCTCATCACCTGATGAGCAATCTAGGCCGTCTAGATTTAATATTTTTAAATAATTATTTAAAAATAGGAAAATTATATTTTTAAAGAATGATAGTTAAGAGATTATCTTTATTTTTTATCATATACCTATTAAAATAATTATTTTAAAAAAATAAAAATAAATTAAAATTAAAATTAGACCGTCCAGATCTGATGAGCATTGGGTGCTCATCAAAACTGATGAGCACCCAATGCAAATCCTATAAAACTATTAGTAGAAAGAATAAAACAGTTAACCCCGGGGGGAAAACACAGTGAATGAATCTCCATATTTACTAATGGAATATAAATCAAAATGAAAAGTACTACCTGCAATGCTTGATATAAGAGCTAATTAGTTAATTTGGATAGATTAAAAAGTTTGTTAAATTAGTTATTTGTAATAAATAAGTTCTATTTTTCCTAAAATACCCGTACTAATCGTGTGTGTTAGTTAGAACTACTATTTGATAGAATCTTTAACATGTGTAACTACTACAAGAACTAATTTCAAAAAATAGATAAATATAAGAGGCAAAGTAAATTGAGAGTCTTATATTTAAAACCAAATTGAATGTCAAAATAAAGTAAAGTAAAGTAGTTGGTAAAAAGAGTATGGTAGGTGCCAGGTAACATTATTAATTAGTTCCTCAATCCTTAACACCATATATTTCTGTCAGCCAACGTAATTCGCTTCACTGATGCAAAAAACTAACCTACAGACAGATACAATTAATATATCCACTTTTTCAATTTCATTTTCTAATCACTATTGCATGCAGGTCATTTGATAATAATAACAAAAAAATGTATTCAATCTATTTGTCCAAATCAAAATCTTTTCCGATCACCAATAATAAAATATCCTATTTATTTGCTCATGGGAAGTTGGAAGAAATGGAGCTTCTAACTATATATGTACCTATCGATCTGAACTTATATACCAACCAAGTGTTCTGCTTCTCTCCCACCATTATAAAACGGCCAAAGCTTCATGTAATTCTCTCACAGCCAAACACAACACTCGATTCACCATCATCAACTTTACCAGTCAGTAACACATTGTCACTTAGAAAAGCATTGTTCTTCAAATCAGTCAAACCAATATGACAATACAAAACTCATTGTTCTTGGTCTTTGTTCTAATAATAGGTGCATTCTATTCCTCCACCACCTCAGCCCAGCTGTCTCTGGCAGCGTCTCCGCCTTCTTCAACATCACCGGTGTCAACTCCAACAGCGCCGCCAGCTGCTGCCCCTGGACTGAATACAGTTCCTTTGGTACCTGCTTCACCCAGTGGAGCCCCGACACCGGCCATACCCAAGGCTCCCACCATTGATATAGTGCAAATTCTGAGGAAAGCCAAGAGATTCTCTGTCTTGATACGGTTGCTGAAGACAACCCAATTAATCAACCAACTCAACTCACAGCTCACAACTTCCGGCTCCTCCGGCGGATTGACCGTTTTTGCGCCGGAGGATAGTGCCTTCTCCAAGCTCAAACCAGGGTTCTTGAACTCCCTCGGTGACAGGCAAAAGGTGGAGCTTCTTCAGTTCCACACCATCTCTTCCTTCGTTTCCATCTCCAACTTCGATACTCTCACCAACCCAGTTCAGACCCAGGCCGGCGATGACCCAAAGAGGCTCCAACTCAACGTCACAACAGATGGTGGAAGCCGAGTGAGCATGACCACCGGCGCGGTTAACGCCACCGTGACGGGCACCGTATACACAAATAACAAGCTCGCCATATATCAGGTGGATAAAGTGCTTCTTCCACTTGACTTCGTGCTTCCTAAGGCAGCTCCGGCACCTTCGCCAGCGGTGGCAGCGAAAGCAGATTCGCCTAAATCTGATAACACCAAGTCGTCTTCTGCAAATGAGAATGAAGATAGTGATGACAACGCCAATAAGGCCAATACTGTGGAAGCCTCTGCAGGTTCTGTGAATGTTCATGCAGCGATGATACCTCTTGTTATTGTATCAATGGCGTTTCTCGGTGGAGCCATGATATGAAGTGGCCAGAAGGGGAGATGCAAGATTTCAATCATTTTGTTTGATATTTGGTTAATGTTGTGGGACATTTCTTTTTTGTTTATTTTTCATTTTGATGAGTGGTAATTAATTACTTTTTATTGTATTATTTATTATTGTGGTGAAATTATAAAACCTTTTTTTTCGTAATTTTAATTATTAACCAAGAATTTGGTAGATTGTCAAAGTATATTTACTTCCGCGTTCCAGATAAAAAGAAGCATATTTTATGAGCAAGGAATTGAAGATGAATGCTCCGTTCTGTGGTGAATTAAAAAAAATGACTGAATTCTGTTTTCACTGCTTCTTCTGTTTTATTTAATAATCTCGTTAATTTCTTCCCTCGTCCTCATATTTCTCATATTTATTATACTTTGTAGAGTACTCTTTTATTTCTTAATATCATTTTGCCTTATTATCAAAAAGAATGAATGAATTATAATTAAGATCAGAGACGGAGAAGGAAATATGCATGAATAAATCGTTTTAGCAAAAATGACAGAGGAAATATAGGGGAAGATGAAGGTCGAAAACCTAAAAAGGGTCATACAGTTCACCAAAATAAAAAAATAAAAGGGTCACAGAAAAATAAAAAATGAAGAAGCCATAGAGAAAAGATCACATAATTTCTTCACACCTTCTAGGTGATGCGGACGCTCATAATACAATCCAACTTTGTTTTATTACCTTCTAATGACTTGGGTTTTTTTTTCTTGATCAATTCCTTCCCCAGCCATGTTTTCGATTCATCAAGTCAATACTTAAATTAGCTAAATAGACTTTATCCCTCAAAGTATTACCAAGACACTGATTAATTTTAGCAACACCGTAACTATGTGCGAGAGTAAAATTTTAGCCTAATCAATGGTGTCAGGCTCAAATCATAGGCATATGCAGCCTTTTTATGCATGATGATGTAAAATTAAAAAACTAAAAACATGCAATCTTGAAAGATATAGGAAGAATTACGATTGAATCGGTGCTCATTACTTTGATTAGCATCTTAAGTTTATCACATCTGAATCGTCTATACATTATTTGGATGGGTTGGATTTTATTTTTTTTATTTGTTCAAAATAATTATTTTAATATATATAGAATTTGAAATAGAGATAATCTCTTAATTATCATTCTTTCAAAAAATAATTTTTATTTAAAAATAATTAATTAAAAATTTTAAATATGTACCATTCAAATTAAATATAGACAATCCAAATGAGATGAGTTTAGGATACTCATCAAAGTGATAAGTACTGAAACTAGTTCCAATTACAATCTGGTTTCAAGAAACGAATTTAATTGCCCTAGAGTCTATTAATAATTGAAGAGCATGCAATGACAAAGTTGAAGATATGGAGAATAACAATAAATTCATTTTAGTTACTTATCATTGAGATTTCTTGAGAATTAAAGTCCTGTTTAGTACAAATTATTAAAAATCAAGGACAAGAGTTAGGATTACAATTGAAAAAAATCATTAAAATGAGATTTAACATGAGTAATTGCTTGTTACGTGAGATTAGATACCACAGAAGTGGGATTGGAGAATACCACCTCTTCTCATGGTATTCTCTAATCCCACATATATGGATTTGGCTAATTCCATATACCAAGTAATTTATTATGCTAAATACTCTTTTAATAGATTTTTTCAATTTCAATCTTAATTTCTATCCTTAATTTTTAATACTTCCTACCAAACAGACATAAATTGCTTTATTGGGACCTAATGGGGGTTGAAGTTATTGGGAGCGGAGGAAAAAGGAACTATGAACTTCCCCAGTAATTATAGATAAGGTAAACATGAGCGAAAGAATCTCCTATCATTTAAGGAACATCCTAAATAATTAAGGTGAATCCTATTTTTATGTATTCTTTTCACTAAATGGGAAAAATAAAATTTCTATATAATTTAAGCAGACAAGAAGCAACAATTCAAAAAATTTAAGACAGAGTAACATCCATCCGATCTCTTTTGAGCAGATTGATGTAAATATTCAACCTATACACTGCTAAAAAATATATATGGCCACACCCTCTGAGATTGCTGCACTTCAAATTAAATTATATGAATCCGAAGTGATGGTAACCTAGCTTGTGAAAGCCCAATAGTTGAATGATGTATATATACCTTCGGTTCTATATTATATCACCAACAATTAATGTAAAACATACCTTTCCATGATAGGTAAGGAGACAAGCTCGTAGGAAATTGGAATTTGGAACTATACATTTCATAAAATCATTTTCTTCCCAACTAAACCAACCAAATAGTACCATCCTCACCAGTCCCATTGACAACTTCCACTATATAATAAGCCATGTATTCTTCCTTTATCATCACAACAGAGCAAGTTCTTCTCCTCACTGATCTCTTGTGTGCACTCTCACTCACATTTCCTCTTAAACATAATATAGTCACAATGCAAGAATCCTTCATCTTCACCACTATTCTGGTATTAGTTACCTTCTATTCCACCTCCACTTCAGCACAATCTACACCAGTTCAGGCTCCGGCGGCCACGCCACCTGCAACTCCGCCCACCGCGGCGGCACCTGGACTCAATACGGGTCCCTTGATACCTGCTTCACCCAATGGTGCCCCCACACCTGCCATCCCCAAACGTCCTTCAATTGACATCGTTCAAATTCTGGGGAAGGCAAAGAGATTCTCTGTTCTTATTAGGCTGATGAAGACAACACAACTCATCAACCAACTTAACTCACAGCTCATGACCTCGGGCTCCGGTGGCCTCACCATTTTCGCCCCTGAAGACAGTGCATTCTCCAAACTCAAACCAGGGTTTTTGAACTCCCTCAATGACAGGCAAAAGGTCGAGCTTCTTCAGTTCCACACCATCTCTTCCTTCATCTCCATCTCCAACTTTGATACCCTCACCAACCCCGTTCAGACTCAGGCCGGCGATGACTCCAGAAGGCTCCAACTCAACGTCACAACTTACGGCGGCAACCAAGTGAGCATGACCACCGGTGCCGTTAACGCCACAGTGACCGGCACTGTGTACACAGACAACAAGCTCGCCGTATATCAAGTGGACAAGGTTCTTCTTCCACTAGATTTTGTGCTTCCTAAGGCTCCAGCACCTTCGCCCGCGGTGGCAACGAAGGCAGATTCGCCTAAACCTGATAACACCAAGTCGGGCGGGTCTGCAAATGAGAGTGAAGATGGTGATGATAACGCCAACAATAAGGCCAACACTGTGGAATCCTCTGCAGGTTCTGTGAGTTTCCACGCGGAGATGGTACCTCTTGTTCTTGGGATTGCGTTTCTGGGCGGAGCCATGATATGAGAATGAAAGCTGATTCAAGAATTCGATCTTTTTTTTTTTTTTTTTGCTATTTGGTTGTTACTGTGTTGCATTTATTTTATGTCTCGCTTTCATTTTGATAAGTTGAAGTTATATTTTGATTTGTTATTTATTATTTGTTATCAAATAATTAAATTTGGTTGTACTTGGAAATACCAGAACTTAGTGGGCTTGTTGTCCTCCTACCAAGTTATTTCTATATGGTTGCTTTATATATACAAAATAAAAAAGACTCATACAAAAATCTTATATATATATTTTAACAATCTAAAAATAATTTAATATTGTGGAACTTAACATTGCAAGATCGACCTTAAAGATCATTTTTGCTTTCCATATTTTGGAGAAGATGGGAAGGAGGGAATAAAGAGGAAGAGAAAAGTGATTAATTTCATAAGAACAATAAGAACCTCACTATTTTTAGGAAAACATTTTTTTTTTTGATAGTAAGGAAAGAGAAAACAAAGAACTAGAAACCTCAGCATAGGGAGCCGAGTCATCCTATGCCTTCCGCATTCAGCATATTAGTGACGCTAGTGGGGCCTAAGATCTGAAACCCTGGGCTGAAGTTCAATGCGAATTTGGCAAGCATATCTGCTCTAGCGTTCTCCTCTCTGCAGCAGCGTTGCAGGTCTATTTGCCAATCTCGATCCAACACTTGCTTCACCTCCGTAATCAAGGACCAATCCTGATGTAACTCCGGGACGTTGCCTCGTAACAATTGAAAAACCTCATGACTATCTGTTTCGAGAACTGCATCTTTACCTATAACAAAACTTATTACTTTACCTAGCTATAACAAATCTTAGTTTAATTCTCCCTATTTTTTAAGAACAAAGTTATGAAGAAAACATGTAGCATCCATATTTTCCCCCTATTTTCTCTCTCCCATTTTTCTCTCATGTAATTCCGATCTCGCTCCTATATATTTATTCCCCCTCTACTTTCTCCTCACCGTACTCTACTTCCCTCCCAACATCTAAGCACAAGGTCAAAATTTCTGGTGATTAGCTCCTTTTCTGGCACAACTCAAGTTAAATTGTTGTGTTGACCAACAAATTAAAGTTAGATTATTGCAATCCATTAAGAAGTAATAAAAGGTCTGGTGTGAAGGTTACTTCTGGTTTCAGATTAGATTTCAGTACTTATATAAAATAAATTTAAAGATATTAACAATTGATCAATCAATTCACATACAAGGTTGAATTTCAGTTACATTCATTTGTATCTGATAGTCTCACAGATTCTTTGGCACCGGTTTATTAACTTGGTTGTGATTCTTTTATTCTACCAATTTGACACATACGGCCAGCTGGCTCATCCCTTAATCCTAATTAATTACCTCATCCTCCAATTAACAATTTGCTTTATTTCATTATCCTCTGATTGCTTGATGGAGATGTTCGGCCATATACACATCTAAAATGACCACCTTCTGATATCACATGTCACATTATATGTGTCACAGTGATATCATTCGATATGAAAGCCCATCTTTAGTCACTATCTCATTTCTAGTAATTATCACTAGTCATTTCTGGGGTAGGCAAGGAGATTAATTATTAGCCAAAAAATTGGAATTAATAGTAATACATTTTCTTGCCAACTAGTTAAATCCTCATTATCCTTCATATCCACAAGCTCAGCTCTATATAAAAAGCCATGCCTCGTTCCCTTTTCGTCACAACATAGTCATCAAACAGAGTAAGTTCCTCCCCTCACTCTTGTGTACAATATCAGTACCCAAACTTGTTCATAAATTTCCCAAACCATCTTATATTAAGTTCTTATACCCAACGAAAGCAAAACAAAAAACAAAACAAAAAGGTCAAATGCAAGAATCGATTATCTTTACCGCCACTCTATTATTAGTCACCGTCTTCTTTTCCACCACCTCTTCAGCCCAGCTGTCACCAATTCAGGCTCCCATTGCATCATCTCCAACAGTCCCACCGATGCCTCCGGCCACTGCATCAGCGCGTGGTGGTCTCAATACGGTTCCCTCACAGTGTGTTCGGCTCAAAAAAAGGGGAGAGGAGGGGAGAGGAGAAGAGAGATTTTAATGGAGGGAAAAAGAAGAAGAGGGTGCAGAGGAATTTTAATATTATCTTTTCAGATTGATGAGAAAAGAGAGGAGGGGAAGAATTGTTTATGATAGGATATATGATCTAATAAGCGTACAACAATTACAATCCTTTCCTCACGTGATATAAGATTAAAAGGGTATATATGGATATTAAAAACTAATTATAAAAAAATTAGTCAGGGTAAGCTAAAATATTGCTATTTTTCCTCCCACCATTTGGACAGGGGAGGGTTATGAGGGGAGAGAAGGGAAAACCTTTTAAAAAATTTCCTTCCCTCCTAAAATTTCAGCAATCCAAACAGGAGAAGGGGAGCAAAGTTCCTCCTACCACCTCTCTTCCCCTCCTCTTCCTCACACTAAACAAGCTCTTGGTACCTTATTCACCCTATGGACCCCCCTGCGGTCGCCCCCAAACGTCCCACCATTGAAATAGTTCAAATTCTGAGGAAGGCCGAGAGATTCTCTGTCCTTATTAACCCAACTGATCAACCAACTCAACCTTCAGCATATGACCTCAGTCTCCGGTGGACTCACCATTTTCGCCCCTGAAGATAGTGCCTTCTCCAAACTCAAACCAGGGTTCTTGAACTCCCTCAATGACAGGCAAAAGGTGGAACCATCTCTTCCTTCCCTCTCCAATTTCGATACTCTTACCATCCATTCCCGTTCAGACTCAGGCCGGCGATGACCCCAACAGGTTTCAACTGAACGTCACAACTTACAGCGGTAGCCAAGTGAGCATGACCACTGGAGCTGTTAACGCCACCGTGACCGGCACCGTGTATGCAGACAACAAGCTTGCAATCTATCAGGTTGAGAAGGTTCTTCTTCCGCTGGACATCGTACTCCTAAGGCTCCAGCACCTTCGCCGGCCGTGGCAGCGAAAGCGAATTCTCCTAAATCTGAGAGTTCCAAGTCGGGATCTGCAAATGAGAGTGAGGATGGCAATGACGAGGCTAATAATTGAGACCAATATTGTGGAAGCCTCCACTGGTTCTGTTAGCTTCCTTGCCGATATATTACCTATTAGATCAATTTTGTTTTGTTTCGCTCTTTGATTTTGGTTGTTGTTGAGTTGCATTTGTGGTGTCTCTTTTGTGAGGATATGGAATTACTTTTTGGTTTGTTATCTATATCAAACAATAATAAAAGTTTGGAATTACTTGTTTTCATAAAAAGTCTGTTTCAGAGTTTGGAATTAATTACATTTTGATTATTGTTACCAAGGTGATAGTGCATTGACCTAATAGGCTTGTATTCCGTAACTTAGACCTCTCTGTTCACAAAAAGGAAAAAAAAAACAGAGAGAAATAATTCTATAATTGTCTATTTAGTTACTGTTCTAAAAGAAATAATCGCTAGATCAGGTCCTTCTCTGATAAATAAAAAGTATATAACGTCTTCCCCTAGAGGCATGGATAGACATAACGAAGACACAAAAGGGTGCTTCACTCTAATATTACAAATTTTTATTTTAAAATTTGTTTAATTTTATTATTTGTTGGAAAAAAAACCCCAATTTACATAGTTCTTCATTTCATGCCCCTCATATGTTGATGTCTAACTCCACTTTGGATAGAGAAGCTGTTGAGATTATAAGTCGCAGAACCAATACATCAAGAAGCCACTTTTTAAGAAGGATCCCTCTATGCAATTACTTGCTCAAGCCTAATAAATTAACAAAAGAAATCCCCAAATATCAACAACCATATAAAATTATTTGCGAATTCATTGATAAAATTCCCGACTTAAAGCTCAAAACTGTAATAGTTTAGTTTCAAAACCACGTTTCTAACTTCAGAAAGAAGAGCATCATTTTATAATTTCAAAGAGGATGATTATCCAATAAAACCATTAATAAATCTCAGGTCTTAATTATAAGACCTTGTTTATAGACTGCAAATGAAGTCTTATAATTAAATTAAGACCAAATGTAATATGACATTTCCTTAGTAATTAAATTACGGCCCCCTCCTCTATAATCCTTTCCATTAAAAAACTTTCCAGCATTTCTGAGCATACACTCTTTGTCAAGATAACCTCCTTGTTGCCCCGCTCTCCGGATGATGCAACTCTCTATACATTTTAATCTACTAAATATGTATGTCATTTAGTTAAAATGATGCTCAAAATGAATTTATATGTACTGTTACAACATCTTGTACTTTTTAATATTTTTTGCTCATGATTGATTATATTGATTACAAGAAAATAAGCTGACCTTTCTTTCTCATTGAATGGCTAGGGACTTATCCTCCTCCTATAAATGAAGAAATTATGTTGAGAGTTACGGGTATGCACTATCAGGTGTAAGGCTACAATATTAATATTCCTTAATCCTAATTGTCACTCCCACTTAAGAAACTAACAATTTGATTGACGCAAATATATTCAACCTATATACACATTCCCTTTGGCATTATATATTACATATTCATGCATCCCAATTATATTGATGTTGATAGTCCCTTTGATGTGAAATCCAAGTAGTTCACTGATTTATCCCTCTGGTTTCCCCACCGATCTATCATCTCAAATATCCAACAATCAGTTACCAATAATGCACCAAATATCTTTCCACGATAGGTGAGGAGATTCATTATTAACTATAAAGTTGGAAATATACCTTTTCATTAATCATTTTCATCGATCCCTAGCTACTATGATGGACGATAAGTACCAAAACTGGTTCCTAACATTACGACTTACACGCTCTCAACTATAAAATGTTCCCATATCTTCTTCTTTCCTCCTCACAACAAAATTATATATCACACACAGCAAGTTAGTTCTTCCACTGGCTCTTGTGTACTCTATCGCTTAAACTTCTTCATCGAATTCACAAGCCAATCTCAAAAATTTCATACCCAACAAAAACAAACAAGTCAGAATGCAAGGATCCTTTGTCTTCACCTCGCTTCTACTACTAGTCACCTTCTTCTATTCCACCACTGCACAGTTATCACCACTTCAGGCTCCGGCTGTGTCAACTCCGACAGCTTCACCGACGACTCCAGCAGCTGCACCAGCGCCGGGACTCAATACGGTTCCTCTGGTACCCGCTTCACCCAATGGGGCTCCGACACCCATCATACCCA